CACTATCATGTTTATTTGCATTTTTCTGTTAGCTAGTGATTTTGAGAATTTTTTCATATATTTATTGATCATTTGTATTTATTTTTCTAGGTAATGTCTTTCAGCTCCTTTGCATTTCTTATTGGCATTGTTTGTTTTCTGTTTAGTTTCTTATATTATGATATTATGATATCAATCCTTTTCCAAGATGCATAGTCTGTTAGTATTTTCTCCTATTCTGTGGGTGTCACCTCACCATGTCATTCATATTTGGTTGAAGATGACATGGAATCTGTACATTTCTTTAGGTAACAATATTATTTTTTCCAATACATAAGCACAGGATGTCTTTCCATTTTTCTGTGTGTCTTGTTCAATATCTTTCATAGATGTTTTGTAATTTTCATTGTGCAGGTCTTTCCTATCATTGATTAAATTTATTCCAAGATATTTCTTTTTGCATCTATTATGAATGAGATTGTTCTTATAATTTCTTCCTCATTTAGATCTTAGAAGAAATGCTTTCAATTTTTTGCCTTTAAGTAAATGTTGTCATTGGCTGTTCCATATATAGCCTTTATTATGTTGAGATATATTTCTTCTATACGTAATTTCCTCAAGGTTTTACTATGAATTGGTGTTGTATTTTATCAAATTTTTTCTGTATATATTGACATGGTCATATGATTTTTATCCCTCATTATGTTGATATGATGTATTGATGTTTATATGTTGAGCTATCCCTGAATCCCTGGAATTATTCCACTTGATTATGATGAATGATCTTTTTCATGTGTTGTTAGGTTCAGCTTTCCATTTTTGTTTTTGATAATCATTCTAACTATGTTCATCTGGAACACCGATCTAAAGTTTTCTCTCTATGTTATGTCTGCATCTGATTTTAGAAACATGCTGACCTCATGGAGTGAGTTTGGATGGGTTACCTCCCTTTCTTTCTTTCTTTCTTTCTTTCTTTTTTTTTTTTTTGAATAGTTTAAGAACAATTAGTGTTAGTTTTTCCTAAAACTGTAATAGAATTCATCAGTGAAGCCATATGATCTTGAGTTTTTCATTGTTTCGTGAGGGTGATTTTTATTAATGATTCAATCTCATTACTCGTTATCGGTCTGGGCAGATTTTCTGTGTCTTAACAATTTACTCTTGGAAAGTTATATGTATACAGAAATTTATCTATTTTCACTAGATTTTCAATTTATTGACATAAAATTGTTTACATTAGTCTTTTGTATTTTAATGCTTTCAGTTGTAACATTTCCTTTTTCTTTTCCGATTTGATTTAAATCTTTTTTTTTTTCTATTTTCTTAGTTTAGCTAAGATTTTATCCATTTTGTTTATCTTTTAAAAAACCAACAGGTCATTTTATCAATCTTTTATACATTTTTTACATTCTATTTTTTATATTTGATTCTGTTTTTATTATTTCTTTCTTTCCACTAACTTTTAAATTGGTTTGTTCTTTGGCTTTGAGATGCATTAGTAGGTTGTTTCTTTTATGCCTTCTTTTTTTTTTTTTTTTTGGAGCTGAATCCTTGTTACTAGAAGCTTCACTCTTAGAGCTTTTGCTGTATTCCTTGAGTTTTGATACATTATGTCTCCAGTTTCCTTAGCTGGAAGGAGTTTTTTTCATTTCCCCTTTGACTTTTTTCATTCACTCATAGTTCATTCCAGAAGCTATTGTTCGAGTCTCCATGTATTTGCGAATTTCTTAATTTTTTGTTATTATTTATTTCTAATTTTATTTAACTTAAGTCAGAAAAAATATGATTTCAATTTCTTTGACTTTGTGGGTACTTTTTGTGGCCTAGTATGTGGTCTAGTCTGGAGATTATTCTATGACTTCGCTGGTGAAGTGTGTTTCTTGTAGGTAGCCTATTGTTAAGTCTTGTTTTCTAATCCCTACTTCCATTTTGTATCTTTTAATTGGGGTATTTAGTCAATTTACAGTCAAGGTTTATCATTGATAAGTTATTGGTTAATCTTGCCATTTACAAATTCTCTGGAATCATGGCTGACTCATGGCCTGGGTGGTCCTTGGAATCAGCTCTGACTTCTGTAGAATCTGCTTCTCCAATAAATGACCAGTTCTTGAAATAGTAAAATAATAACTCATATCATATATGCAATTCTAAGATGGCTAAATAGGGAAAAGATGTGCTGCTTTTGAACACGTGAAAATAGCAGAAGAAAAGCAGAGGAAGTGCATTCCCCGGTGAGGGTTGGAGAGAAGCTTGCAGCGGAAAATCTACAGAAGGAAGAGGGGCGCCATTCAGAAGCGTGAAGTTGCAGATGTTCAGCAATGAGTGTGGACACCACACATGAACCCTGCAGCCAGCAGCTGGAGGAGACACCATCTTTGGAGACAAAGTGAGAGCAGATTGTGGCAGCCTGTGCCACTAGTGCTGTTGCCTGAGGAGACCTTTGCACACTACACTGTCTTTGGGACAGGGAGACCTAGCAGGGGTCAGGGTACCTTCCTAATCCAGGGAAATAAAAGCATGTTTTTTTCCTCTGCTTCCCTCCACAAGGGCATCTGGCGATTGGTTGGGAGAAGGCGTAACTTTGACACCAGTAGAGGCTATAGTGGGTCTTGTGTGAACCTGTGACTAGGAGATTTTTACCAGAAAGAAAAAGCCCCATTCCTCACTGACTTTGAGTACAGTTGGGAGGGTTGACAGGGGCCTGGGCACCAATGTAGGACTGTGAGGTACCCCCAGCCTCTCAATATATTGAAGGCTCAGGGGTTCAAACTGCCAAGGCAGAGCATCAACAGGCAGCTGGCTCTGGGAATGTCTCTGCTGTCTCGTGGACAAATTTTCTTATCTTCATTTTTATTGCCTTTTCTCTGTTTCTATTGGGTTCTACACTTTCGCATGTTTTCATTGATTTGCTTTTGGATATAAGACCCGCTTAAGTATCTTTTGTTAAACTAGTCTGATGGTAAAGGATTCTCTTAACTTTTGTTTGTTTGGAAACACGTATTTGTCCTTCATTCATAAAGATAACTTCACTAGGTCAAGTGTCATGTGTGGTGGTTTCTTTTCAGACTTGGCATGCATCATTACACTTCATCTTAGCCTGTGAGTTCTGATGTTAGTCCATTGGTGACTCCCTTATAGGTGATCTGATATTTTCTCTTGCAAATTTTACAATTATCTCCTTCTACAGTTCCTTTAAGAGTTTCACTACAGTGTGTCATCATGAGGATCTATTTTGGCCATGTCTCTTGGGAGTCATATGGGCCTCCCTTCTTGGGTATTCATATCTTTCTCCAGACTGGGGTAATTTTCAGTTACTGTAGTTGAATCGGTTTCCTAACCCTCCACTCATCTCTTCACCCTCAGAAATCCCCACAATTTGTGTCTTTGCTCTTGTAATACCATCCCAATTGTATAAGATGGAAATCTTACAACATTGTCCTAATCATTTGCTTAAACCTTTATTTTTTGGTGTGAGATATTTCAAAAGACTAATTTTAGTTCATATATTCATGTTTCTTCTTGACCTAGTCTTTTGCTGAGGTTTTCAACTATAATTTTTATTTGACTGATGGAATCCTTCATTTAGAAGATTTCTGTTTGGTACTTTTTCAACATTTCTATCTATTCACAGATTTTCTCACTGTTTCCCAATTCAACTGTTTGCTTCTATTCTCCTGTAGTTCTTTGACCATTTTGTAATCATTGTCTTAAATTATCTGTCAGGCATTTCATCAATCCTTTCTCCTTTGGAGGCTGTTCTAAAATATTGTGGTGTCCATTTGGAGACATAATATTTCTGCACTTTTGCATACTTCCTGTGTCCCTCTTTTGCTATCTGTGCTTTTGGAGAATTAGTTTTCTCTATCACTTATAATGAGTGATAGTCATGGGAAAAGTACTTTTACTGAAGATGTGCATTAAAATGTCAGATTTTTTGGGCTCCTTTAGCTTTATTTCCAATTGGATGCTATAGTCTCCCTGTATCTCTGTCACCAGACGGGACAGCAATGGAAGTGCAAGCATGGAGTACTCCTCTTAGACCCATCAGACATATTTCTAGTATACATTAAGATACAGAATTTTTGCTGAAAAATTCCTCTGGTGAAACTTGATGCATGACCTGTTTTCTAATAATAGAAGAACTGTGGTTGCAAATTTGTAAGGGTAGGTTGGCAGCTCAGAAATGAATGAAGCACATGTTATTTTTTTAGGTGACAAATCTGTCCTAGATTTCACCAGATATGAGTACAAGAACAGCCATATTTAAAAGAGTAATCCCCAAACTAAATCCCTAATCTGGAAATAAGTCGTTATGGTAACCAGAGACCCATCAGGCACTCCTCAGTATCTGCAGGAAGCAGAGATACACGGACCTAGGTTGCTATAGATGTGCAACTGGAAATCATTGGGCCTGAGAGATAAGGATTCTATTATGATTTCATAAATATTGTTTTGTCCTATCTTAGTCTAGTTCTCTCTAATTGAACTGTAGTTGTACTTGTAGCAATGTCTGTCATGCAACCATTAGAAAAGGAGAAGGAAAACAAAGGAGAGAAAAGTGGGGGAAGGAGGTAAAGATGCAATTACGTTGTAACTTTCTGTTAACTATTGATAAACTGGTCATACTATTTCATATATGGATGCAGATGGTGGACATAGAACTGAAATACTAGGGCCATTACTATGAGAAACCACGAATGTCATGTTTCTCCAGATTGGAAGTGCATCAGTTGTGTGTGGAAGTTCTGATTGCAGTGCTACAGTCCCTCAGCTATCAATACGGTCCCCTCATCATATCCTGCTCCATTGTCTTGTGTTAGTCAGGATGCTAAGCTCAGGTCCTTGCCAGCTTCATTCCACAATCGTAAGAGGAGACATGGGAAATATGGGGAGCGTTATGTGTACTGAAAAGTTAAGGATGGCAAAATTTAAGTCAGATTTAACAATGTCCAGGATTTAGCTAAATAGACATTATTTGGATATTATTAATGTAGTTATTCACTTTTTTTTACCCTCTGCAGCAACTATTGCTACCATAACAACCTCCAGATGACATTTCCTGAGAGACTTGGTGGTCTCAGCAAACACAGATACATCAGTAGAATCTGACATCATGCTCTTCATTAATGATTTAATCTTCAAAACAGCAGCATAATTCATTAAAGGGAAATTTTCTGGGGAATGCTATAAGCAGGATGTTAAGTCAGATACTATGTCAAAAGACCCTATTCTTTCACAGTGGTCCATTTTTGGTATGCACTATTTGTGAGGAAGGAAAAAATTGTGCATGTGTTTAACTGTTCATGTTTCAGTTGAAAATTGTGTTGTACCATTCTGCTATATTCTGTTGATTTAACTGGCTATGTTGTTTCATGTGTACATGTAAAATAATGAAAATATTATTTTTAATATAGGAGATTACTTAAAAAACTGTTTAAAATAGAATTAAAAGTAGGTTTGTCTTGGTGCAAAAACTTTTTGAAATCAATACATACAGTTTAATCATACTACACATTTTTCACAAACATTTTGAAGATCCCTTCTATGTATGTGTCTGTGAAGAAGGATTTTTTAGAAGATTAAAACACTGCTTAGATTATGTCAATGTAGAGTACATGATGTAAATTATGAGACTTGAAACCAAGTACTTAAGAAACAGATTTGTTTGACTTGTGTATCTAAATATTGGAGCAGATTATCTACGTGGTTAAGGTTTGTGACAAAGCTAAGCACAACTTCTAACTTTTCATTCATGATGTTGAAGTGAAGTAGGATAAATAAACAGCTCTGTATTTTATACTATATCTACATGCTATGAATATGTGCATACTGAAGATCTTTTCCATTTAATGGAAACTGCTAATAAATGTAAAATGCAATTGGTGCCACCATGGTTCACATTTACATTTTCTCTTCTTATTTCCAGCCTTTAATCATGTTCATTAAGCATTTGAGAAGAATAGAGAAAGAAAATATTTTTAACCTAATATAGTACAAATATTCTCTTAGAATGCTTTGCATATATTATCTGAACAAATCATCTCATAGAACCCTATTGAATACAACCTAATTTTTCAGGTAAAGAGGTTGAAACATAGCAATAAGAACACACTTATTAACATCACTAAAACATTTAAGATTGGCAGATAGGAATCAAATATACATGGTGCCCACAATGGTGACCTTTCCTTCTGATACAATCTTAGTTTAAAAATATCTAGCCTCAATTTTTTCCTGATCCTCAGAAATTTCAGAATTGTTTAAAAGAGACTTACCCACAATTGAATCTCCAAGTGTAATTCCCAGGATAGGTCTGGAATAGTAATATGTAAAATCCACTTGTAAGCCCATAGAAAACATTCCAAAATGTCAAAGATCCTAGACTTAAAAACAATGATGATGACATTAATATGGAAAACACATGCGGTAATTAAGGATGTATATACATGTGTGTGTGAAATACAGTGGATTGTTTTATTGGATTGATATACACACTTACCAAAGAATAGAACCATTTGAGACACAGAATGTCAAGATAATTTGTCAGGAACACATGCATTGCTACAACTTATAACAAAAAAAAAAAAAAACCTGTAAGTTAAGGCACCCATGGGTCACTCAACTCAGCTGGCAGTACACCTGAATACAAAAAAAAGGATCACTGGACTTAATCTCCAAGCCTGTCATTTATTTCTTTCACACAAAAAGTATGGGACACAGGTGGTCAGAAGTCAAAGATCAGACTCTGCCTGAGTGCTTCATATGACACGACACAAATGTATGGGACCTGCGGTGTGAAATGAAAAAGTCACTAGAATGGGGTGCATTTTAGTGACCTAAGTCAAAGGCCACACTGTTTTTGGTGTTTTACAAATGTTTGACAGATTAAATACCTACCTCCTAGGGACTGCAAATAGGCCATGGAATTAAAACTATTCATGTGCATTAAGGATTTAAGTATTAAAGCATTAAGAATTCTCCATATAAAAATGTAGATCATATAATATTAGTAATATGGTTATACTAGTTTTGTCCCACTGTAAAAATTATACTCTGGACACTATTTTGAATATAACTACAGATCTCTTAATATGAAGAATATAAAAATAGATACAAAAAGTAACAATTATGTCCATACACTTCTTTCCTTCAATACCTTTTGAAGCATTTTTGCAAATGTTTTGTCTTGATTCAGGGTCATTTTATTAGTAAGTTATATATAAATACTATTTTTGCTAATAATCAGTACTTTCATAGTTTGATACATTTAGGAAATTGCTTATTTATTTATTTATTTATTTTTAACTTTTATTTAATCAATATAAATTTCCAAAGTACAACTTTTGGATTATATAGCAGCTCTTTCCCCCTTAACCACCCTCCCTCCTGCACCCATCCCATCTCCCACTCCCTCTCCCATCCCATTCTTCATCAAGACTCATTTTCAATTATCTTTATGTACAGAGGATCAATTTAGTATATACTAAGTAAAGATTTCAACAGACTGCTCCCACACAGAAACACAAAGTATAAAGTACTATTTGAGTACTAGTAATCTGGGCATGTTACCAGGACAACAAAATAGGTAACATAAGAAGGATACTATATGTATATTGTACAGTGCTCTGAAATTGAGGACATATTATCATTTAAAACAGTATCTCTTTATCCTTATTTGAACTCTTTGAAAAATATGCACACAATATTAGTTTCTGTTGTAAAATGCTTATCTTTTTTGGCATTCTTTCACAATATGAAAATAATAATAATAACAATGTAGTTTCTTTTGTGGCTTTGACTAAGCCAACGATGTAACTCATTGTGAGTCAGAGCTACATGCAGGCTTGTTATAATACAATTCACTGGGGCCTGATTCATTAGGTGAGATCTCAGATCAACCATCTTCATTTTTTAAAAGATTCATTTATTTATATGAAAGTCAGAGTTACAGAGGGAGAGGAAGAGACAGAAAGAGATAGAGATCCAGCGCTAGGTCAAAACCAGGAGCCAGGAGCTTCATTTTGTTCCCACATGTGGGTGACAGGTGCCCAACCTCTTGGGCCATCTTCACTGCTTTTCCCAGGCCAATAACAGGGTACTGGATCAGAATTGGAGCAGCCAAGCCTCGAACTGGTGACCATACGAGATGCCAGTGTCAGAGGTAGTGTCTTTACCTGCTATGCTACAGCACTGACCCCAATTCTTTTATTTATTCATTTTTAATTATCTGAAAGGAAGTAAAAAGGTAAATATTACATATATACATATATGTGCATTTATATGTCTGTCTGTCTATCTATCTAGAGAGAGATAGAGAGAAAGAGAGAGAGAGGGAGAGAGATCTCCCAATTGCTGGTTTATTCCCAAAATGCCCACATCAGCCTGGACTGGGTCAGGCCAAAAGCAGGAGCCTAGAACTCAATCCAGGTCTCCCATGAGTGTCAGGAACTCAGCTACTTCAATGACTACCTATTACTTCCCATAGTATACAATAGCAGGAAGCTGTAATCAGGAGCGGAGCTGGACTGAAGTCCAGTTGCTCCAATATGAGATACGGGTACCCCAAGTGGAATCTCTACCACTGAAAAAGATGCCTGCTTTGAGAAATATATTTCTAACATGTGCCCATAGGAAGTTGAAGCTGCCAGTCCAGAAACTGCATTTTGAGAACCACTGATTTGAATACTGTACATCATAGCAGATTGAAGACTAAAGAACTCAATAATCTGGGTATGCTCAAATATGTTAAATATTACAAATATTTTTTTATGTTGTAGATTTTTTGGTCATCCTGTTAGCCCTCCATATATATCCATGGGTTCCACATTTTCACATCTAGACAATCTTGGATATAAAAAAAAAACACTGAATCAATAGTAAATATGTGCAGAAATTTTTCCTTGTCATGATTCCCTAAGAATATGGTAGAATACCAATCTATACAGCATTTACATTGCATTAGGTGTTGTAAGTAAACCTAGAGATGATTGAGAGTATACAGGAGGGTGTGAATGGGTTATGCCAAATGGATAACAGCACTTTCTTAACTTCTGTTTTAATTTGGATGTTTTATCAAAATGTAGATCCAGAATTTGTCTTCCTCCCTAAGCTATGTATCATTGTCAACACTTTTTTATTTAATAATCACTCAGAATTCTAAAAGTCATTGTAAAATATTTTATTAACTTACTTGAAACTCATTAAATTTGCTTTAATATTGATGTGATTGGTCTACATTAGAAATAATGCTGCTCTCAACTTGACACTAGGAAGAATGTGACTGAAAACTCTAGCCATCAACTTTTGAAATTAAACCACTGTTACCTACCTGTATTCCTACAGGATTTTCTCACATGTTAATTTTTTTGTTGGTAGTGGAAAGAGCCACCTTCCCCTCTAATGCATTCAATTCACATTTATTTTTACCTGGGCCATGTGGATATTTATAACATTATTTGTGGGTCATACAAAATTATCAACTCAAAAAAATTAGCCAGCTGTAGATTTACTGAATTTTGAGTCCCATCTGCAGCTGCCTCGGCAGGTCCACTTATCTTTATATATCACTTATCTTTATATATCATGACTATAAATTTATTAATTTCCTTCAGTAAATGACTTATATTCTAAACCTACATAGCATATTGAAAGTCGTTTCTCCAACCTACTGTGTGGATGAACCTGAGGGAAATGATAGTCATGCATAGGGGTGTGTGTGTGTGTGTGTGTGTGTGTGTGTGAATGCTTGGATGGGAAGATCAATCACATTGAGAAGTCAGGGAATGATTGTACATAACTCATAACTCATTCTCCTGGTAGATTCCACATTGAAAAACTGTGGTCCCTGTTTATCATGCTGCCTATCAGTGCTGGAATTTTGATGCTATGTATTTATCCTTAAAACTAGTTTATCTTATGGCTTATATCATAGTTATTATTATTTTAATTAACATGCCTCATGTTTTCACCCATTAGCCCATAAATGCTGAATCCTTTTCTCCTGAAAACTAAGAAAATCCACTACTATGTTTTGAATATCCAGGCAACAAATTTTGAATCCCTGTTCCATTTAAGCCTTACTACTGTATTCTCCAACAGTGTAAAATTTGGTATCAGTTGTCTAGAGGTTCTCACCCTCCCAATACAAATTAAGATTGTATGTTAATAATTTAAATATTTGGCAACCTTCATGCCTTGAGATTTCTCTCTTAATTCATCCACTTCTCCATTTCCAGATATCTAAGCAAATGGAGACTTGGAAAACTTTGTAAATTAATGATAAAGTTAATTTAAAAGGACAGTAATGATCTCCAGGTTAAATAGGCTAAGAAAAAGTGGGGAATCATTTTTATTCTACACCTGATTCAATGTAGAAATTTTAATAAGGAAACATTCTGGGAATGAGCAGAGATCTGTAGTTTGATATCCTTTTATAAATAAGCTCTCCAAGCGTGGGATTCTACTTTTCAAATTTAATCTAAGGAAATGATATCTTCCTGAATGGCAAGCATGTTGATGGTTGTTCCTATGTATGCACGCTGGGGTTTAAGAGTCTAATTCTTTAATTAGATGAGGACCAAAATATGGTCAAAACTTTGTTAATCCAGCCTAGATTTATGTACTCCCAGGTGATTTGTTAAATACTGGATGGGTTTTTTTTTTTTTCAGTTTAATCAGTTTAATTTTTTTCTTTTTGCTTTCAAACTTTTATTTAATGAATATAAATTTCCAAAGTACAGAATATGGATTACAATGGCTTCCCCCCCCCATAACGTCCCTCCAACCCACAACCCTCCCCTTATCCACTCCCTCTCCCCTTCCATTCACATCATGATTCATTTTTGATTCTCTTTATATACAGAAGATCAGTTTAGCATACA